AGGAAGACCCAGACCCTGTCTCTCCTCTGGGTTCTGGCCAGTGTCTGTGTTTAAAGCAACTCGCTTGAGGTTTTCATCGGTTCCTTGTTGCTTTCCTGAGAGCTCTCTCCCACCTTGCCATCCTCTGAATATACCTTTTCTCCTCTCTCTTGGAGGATCCCCTTCCTCAGACCCATGTCTTCCTTCCTTCCGAGTTCCAAGTTCCTATGTTATTACACTTTGCCTTAGCCAAAGGGGCCAAGGAGCAACTCTACCCCTTATTCCTGGCATAACTCCCTCTTCAGTGCCATAATCCTTGGGTATACTGAGCAGAACCAGAGTTGGCCACACCAAGGTCTTGTCTTTTGAAGTCTCCCTTGTCACACACAGAGAGGTGGAATGTGCAGCAAAACCCCTCAGCTCCATTCCTGACTTCTCTGCTGACCCATTTTGTGACCTTGGGTATTTAAATTTAGTGATAATTTCAAATCACTTGGGCACTTCTGTGCCAAGTGTAACTCATCTATAAAACTAATATTATGCCTAACATTTTCAGAAGAGTTTAAGAAACTTAATGCAAATATTTCACGTTAAGTATTAGACTGATTTTTTTTGGAAAGGAAACCCTGTGGCTTTGGAGACCAAAACTGATAAATTAAAACTGTCTCCAGTGGGTGACACTCTTGTACATGGGTGTGTATGTGCCAGATTTAGGGCTAGAACTTTCTGTTGCCAAAAATTATGGAAGATAAAAGCAGGAATTAAGCAACATATGATTAAGGAGTGTCCACTTATTTATTGTCATGACAGGAGTAATGAAGTATAAAAGAAGAGACATACTGTATCTTTTTTTTTTTTTTTTTTCATCCCAAAGAAAGCAGGGAAATCCAGCAGAACATGTATAGATATGGCATTTCTCAGTCATTCCTACTTTATTTTTAATGGCTGCTACTGCTCACAGGGCAGGGACTCAGGCGTATAGAAAATGTGATTGTGACGAGTGTGGTAAAAAGGTGAGATGATCACAGATTACATTATCCAACCACAGCAAAGTTATTCCAGTGTGAATAAGCAAACTGGTATTTCACTTCCTTGTGGTATACTGTACTGTGGTGTGGCACCACCTAAAATCAAGTTTCTGTTCTATATGTTCTGCTCATATTTAATAAAATTGACTTAGCTTAAAATCAGAATTCATACATGTTTTTCTTCCAGTTCTGCCATTTATGAAAGCAAGAGCAGCTGGTCAGAGTCTTTTTTGTGTGTACAACATATGAAACATAATATTTGATAAGTGAACTGAATGTTGCAGAAGTCAGTGACAATAACATGATGATAACTCCCTCTGCTAGCCAGTTGCAGCATTAACACTGGACAAATACCTTATCCTTATGTCTCCTTTCACAGGTTCCTAGACTGTTAGGAATATTTTGGCATTGTCCATGGGGTAGGAAAAGGACAGATTTCAGTGTAAAAAGAAAGACACTGCTCCCTGATAGCACCAACATGCACCTACCTGATAGACAGCCAATGCTGTTTTGTCCCTGTAAGCTTTATAGACAGAGGCATAAATTATGTTTGGAAATCTCTTTTTTTCACTTGGAAGTATTAGCACAGTAAAATGCCTCTAAGCTATGCTTTTAGAAAAATAACTTTTTAATTATTTTTAACAGCTACATTTATTTTGAATCTCTTATACGAATGATATGACTCAGATATTAGAGTGATGAATGCCATAGAAAAACTTTTCCCATGGCACAGATAATAAAGAAAAGTTACTTAGCAAAGTTAATGTATACTATAGCACATTTGGTTAGAATCCTGTTTTGTGAATGGGCAAAGCCCTGCCTTTCAACCTTTTTTTTTTCTTTTTTTATGTCACAAATACTGGAATAGAAATAAAGCAATATGTTTTAAGTTTCTTTTAGTTGTGTTAGTGCAGTGAGGTTTTCGGAGCTGCTCATTTGATTGGACATCCACTGTATCCTCTACTCCGTGACACTCCCAATCATAAAGCAGGCAATGCTGGCATTGGGAATATGATAATGCACAATCATATAAATATAAAGGATTTGTCAGGAGCAGCAAGGCTTGAAATTCAATGTTTAACAAGTAAATATTTTTGCCTGGCATACATTGCCTAGCCCAGGGGACAGCCCACTGTGCTTGGTGCTGTGGAGGCATCCTTGCACCAAAATGTGTGACAGAAATACTTCAGACCATTCTGGACTACGAAAAGTCAACAGTGTAGTGGTAGCCTCTTCACTGCGGCCTCGTTTGTAGTTAGTACAATCTGGAATAGTACTTAGCTCTCAGGTGTGGGTATAATCATATGCCTGCTGCCTGGAGCTGGGTAGGAACTGTGCTGGAACGGGGCTGCCACACTGCCGCCCCTTGAACTTCAAAAGGGGTCCTTCCTTCTTCTCTGGATACCAGAAACATTGGCTTTAATTTATTTCCATGTAAACCACTGCCAGTATGTACAGAATAAATAGAA